ACTTACAGCTAACAACAGCAGAGCAATAGAAGCTAACAGGAGACATCAGCCATCAGCCAAATAGAAATTGCCAAACACTCCTTAAGAACACAAAGCCCTCATTGCACAAATCCCAGAACTTCAAAGTCACAAAAGCACATAAGAATCCTTCCACTCTCCATCTCCTTCCCTCCTCCGTGCCTCACCTCCAGCCATTGCTTCCTTTTTTCATTCCTCTTGGAGGGTGACCCCTCCCCCGCTACATTTCTTGCCTGTTTGCTGCTGCCAGCACAGGTGGCTGCCACAGCAGTTGTAGATCGGCTCATGGCCAGCCTCCCCCTCCCCCTCCCCCTCCCGTGCAGCTGACTCCACCTCCTCCCAAGGCTGCTGCTTTTTCTCTCTCTCCCTCTCCTGCCCAATCTGCCTCCTTTTATAGTCTCTCCTGTCTCCACCCCCCTCCTCCTTTCTCATGGGGGAGGGTGAGCCAGAAGTGAGCCTGGGGCCTTTGCAGCTCCAGAGGACTCTCACTGTAAGTCCTTGCCTGTGCTGGCTCTTTCCCTCCCCCACTACACTTGGCTAGGCAGGGCTGCGTACCACCTGCCACTCATTAATGTACCACAAGTGGTATGCGTACCACCGGTTGAAAAGCCCTGGACTAGAAGACCTCCAAAGTCCCTTCCAATTCTATTATTATTATTATTATTATTATTATTATTATTATTATTATTATTATTATTATTATTATTATTATTATTATTATTATTATTATTATTATTATTATTATTATTATTATTGGAAGGAAATTCAAAGCACTCTTACCACCAGGTAGCTCCGCAGGCCCACAGGTGTCTCTCTCTTCTGCCACATCGTAGACCCAGAGTTTCTTATAGCAGAATTTCCACAAGCCGAAGTGGGCAGCCTCGCAGATGGCGGAATGGTTCTGCTTGTAGGTGTTGAGTTCCACCCAAAATTCTGTGCCCACCGCCAGCACCATCAGGGTCATCCCCACAATGGCCACAAAGAATGCCAGCTTGATCTTGCCTTCCTGCTCGTCCGCCAGAACTTTCTGCCGTGGGGTCTCTCCCCTTCTGCGCACTGCTATGCGCTGCTCCCGGTCCTGAAGGAAAAAGTTGGGCCACATCATAGCGCCTTTTCCTGATCCCTGATTGTTTAGGGAATCTATTTTGCCCAGAAAAAAAAGAAAAGCTAGCTTGTCTGCTGCCCGTAAACACCCAAGCTCTGAGCCAGGTTTTGTGCTTGGGTTTGTTGCCCAGCTTTTTCTGAGTTTTATCTAGGTCAACACACTGCAAGCAGTGCCGAAAAGTTGTTGAGCGCTCTCCCTGCACCCCTGTGTTTTCAAGGCAGTGCCCCCAACTTGGCAAGGAGCACAGCAGCTACCTCAGCCACCCTGGTGCCTTGGCAAGCCTACAGAGCACCTGTTAGTGTTCCTCAGCCATCATCCAGGCAGCAAGGGTTATTTTAAGCGGTGAGGTTCATAGACAGTCTGGATGTGTTTGTGTGCAGGGGTATGGTGCTCTTAAAAAAGCAGACACTTAAATTGGACCCTTTCAGGAACGGGGGACGCCCTCTTGCGCCAGCTGCCCATTCCCACAGCACCCCTTGTTGGGCACAGAAGAGCTCAAGGCACTCTCCTCTGCCCCACCACTCTGTGGAACTTGGTTTGCTTCCAACAGGCTTGGAAATCTTCTCAATGTGCCGGTTGTTTATCATGGGCAAACGTATCGAATCCTTTTGCTCTCCTCTTCATGCATGCGCTTGATGGGGTTGACTGAGGCAATGAATTGTCCTGGTCTGGTTTATTATTTTGAAGTCCTACAAAAAAGTTACATGTCCTCTGGAGAAAGCACAGATTTATTTTCAAAGCAGGGTGCTTGCATGTCCTGATGTGGCACTCAGTTGTGAATGATGCCTTTACAATGCCGTTACTTTAAAACAGGCACATTTTGGGGAGTTCTTGGTGCTGTCTGAACTTGGTTGTTTGCTTGCAGACGTTTCATTATCCAACTAGGTAACGATATCAGTGGTAGTGAGTGTGGGGCTTGCTCCCTTTTTATATACAGTAACTTGCCAGTGTTGGTGGTGGCTTTGTTTTCTCTTTGATAGTTCCTTGATTAGGATATAATATTCTTAGAGTACAGGGAGTCTTCAACTTACAACCATTTGTTTAGTTACCATTCAAAGTTACAACAGTACTGAAAAAAGTGACTCCTTGCACTTGCAACAATTACAGCATCCCCATGGCCACATGATCAAAATGTGGATGCTTGGCAACAAGCATGTATTATATGACTGCAAGGGGCCTAGAGTCACCTTGGCGAGACAGGTGACATAGAAGTCAATAAATAAATAAACAAACACCCCTGTGTCATGTAATCACCATTAGTGACCTTTTGAGTTGGCTTCCGACAACCAAAGCCAGTGGGGCAGAAGTCAGATGCGCTTCACGACTGCATGTTTCACTTAAGAACTGCAGTGATTTGCTTAACAACTGTGGCAAAAAAGGAGGTAAAACCGAATGCAATTCACTTAAAAACTGCCTTGCTTAGTAACAGAAATTCTGGTCCCAATTTTGAGGACTGCTTGTATTAGGATAGCGAGTCCTTGGGGTATTTTCTCTGTTCCTGTTCCCTCCTATAATTCTGTGGAGATAATTACTGAGTGGTAATAGTGGCCCCAGAAAAGTACAGGTAGTCCTCGACTTACAACGGTTAGCTTAGTGACTGTTCAAAGTTACAAGGTCACTGGAAAAAAATGACTTACGACCGTTTTCCACACTTACGACTGTTGCAGCATCTCATTGGTCACGTGATCAAAATTCAGATGCTTGGCAACCAGTTCATATTTATGACGGTTGCAGTGTCCCGGGGTCATGTGATCACCCTTGGCAACATTCTGACAAGCGAAATCAACGGGGAAGCCAGATTCACTTAACATCCGTGTTACTAACTTAACAACTGCGATGATTCACTTAACAACTGTGGCAAAACTCACTTAACAAATGTCTCACCTAGCAATAGGAATTTTGGGCTAGTTGTAGCCGTAAGTCGAGGACTCCAGTGTAGGTGTTTCTCCAGTCTTGATATTCAGTATGATCCTTCATCTCTTGACTCCATGACCCTCAAATCGCCAGATGTGCCCCAGATGTCTCTGTCCCCCCCGATTAAACAATGGGTCCACTGGGATCCTGGAAGGATGCCTCCTCTGTCGCCACATCTATGTATCACTCTCCCCTATCCGAAGATGTTTTGAAAGTCCCTAAAAGTCTGGCTGTTCTCTTGAGGCCTTGGTTTTATTTTCCTTGTTATCTATGGTTTTCTATTTTCTCCACTTTATCTGTTTCTTTGCAGGTAGTCCTATGACCACAGCTGAGCCCAACGTTTTCGTAACTAAGCAAGACAATTAATTTTACCCCATTTTACGACCTTTCTTGCCACAGTTGTTAAGTGAATCACTGCGGTTAAGTTAGTAACACGGTTCTTAAGTGAATCTGGTTTCCCCATTGACTTTGCTTGTCAGAAGGTTGCAAAAGGTGCTCACATGACACCATGACTGTCATAAAAATGAACCCGTTGCCAGGCTTCCAAATTTTGATCACGTGACCCTGGGGATGCTGCGACGGTCGTGTGAAAAACGGGCATATGTCACTTTTTTCAGTGCTTCAAACGGTCACTAAATGAATGGATCTTAATGAATGAATGGTTGTAAGTCAAGGGCTACCTGTAATTATATATAGAATTATAACTGTTTACTGTTATAATGAGATATTGTACTTTATATTTTAATTTTTTTCTGTTGTAGTCTTCTTAGATTAAGTATTTTTGGATAGAAACATAGAAACAGAAAATGGACAGCAGAAAAAGACCTAGAGGTACCTTTCAGGTTTTTGTGTGTTTTTTTTTAATTTATTAAAAATTTTTATTAATTTTTTCAAATAAAATATGAACAAATAATACAAATATGGTGCATTTCATTAGAAAAACAAGCACATAAAAAGCCTATTCCGAAATAATCGGCGTTCCCCCCCCCTGCATCCACACTCCCTCCACCTTCCTACCTACTTCCATCTTCCTTCCTCCCCCTCTTGACCACTACCTCTCCTCTTTCCACCTTCCCAACTATCCTACACATCCCATCACCTTCTTTTCCACCACCTCAGATGCAGTTTAGGGGTACTAGCCGATCATCTCCTCTTCTTAAAAACAAACATTTACATTTTATTTATAAATACACCAAATTTTTATAATTCTACCCCTTCATCCCCTTCCCCCCCGGACTTCCCAGAACTGATTACAGGGATAAATACATAACATCCCAAGTCTAAAGTAAGCTATCCATTCATAATACAAACAAAATTTAACATACTTTAACTCTAACATACAATAATAAACTTAAAAATAATATATATATATATATATAAATTATATTAAATATATAAAAAATATTAGAAAAAAAGATATTTATTCAAAAGCTATATGATAATTAATCACTTCATACTTTCTCTTCATATAATCTATCCATCTTCTCCACACCGAAATACATTTTTCTTGAGATTGATCCTTCAAGTATGCAGAAATTTTTGCCATTTCTGCAAAGTATGACACCTTCAATCTCCAATCATCCATAGTCGGTAATACCTCTTTCTTCCAGTTTTGAGCAATCAATAATCTTGCTGCTGTTATACAATACAACATCAAATTCATTTCTTTAGAATCCAAATTTTCCATAATACCCAATAAGAATAATTGCGGTGTAAATTTTATCTTTTTCTTAAAAATCTGTTGAATGTTCCACCAAATTTTAATCCAAAAGGCCTTTACATCCCTACATGTCCACCAAATATGATAATAAGTTGCGTCTAAATTACCACATCTCCAACATTTTGGTTGCAAATTTGGATACATGCAAGACAATTTTTGGGGATCTAGATGCCATCTATAAAACATTTTATAAAAATTTTCCCTTAAATTCTGTGCTTGGGTGAACTTGACATTTCTTACCCAAATTACCT